GAGAAAACGCAGCACCTATGAGTACAGCCACACTGACCGCCACGCCCACAGGCACACCCACACGCACATCCACACCACACCTACATCCATAGTCCACTACGAAAATATTTTATACACACATGAAACATACAACCGTACCACCCTCATTTAGTTCATTCTGTCCAAACAAATAATTATTCCAACACTCCAAATCTCAAAAACGGGCAAACATACAAAACCACCTAGCAATAGAGTACGCATCTTGAATAACTTTCCTGAAGAAGCAAAAAACTGTAAAACGATCCTCACATCTCTCGAAAGCATTACGTCGCGTGTACTCAGCCAAAAGCGTTCAAACGAAAACTCCACCAACCACTGTGATCTCGATACAAAGCTATGAAAATAACTGCATCACCTGAAAACCCGTTGCCGACGAATCGCAATAAGCATCACATACAAAAATTCAAGCATGTCAAACAATAAAACCTTCATGTCTTTAGGGCAAACCAATAGCTACATATTCCTCCAAAACCAAGGTCTCAAAAGAATTACTTGTGATCTTCGGCTCATTCGCGAACAGATACAAAGTCAAAGCCATCTGATGATTCTCCTAGCAGAGATGAAATCGCGATAATGGTAGCTAGAGACACCCATCAGCACCCACACCCACACCCACATCCCACTCACCCACACCCTCAGCATCTTATTGTATCACTCTTCGATAAGCACCAAAGCGAAAAGCGAGACAAACAAATAGAAATTATTTGAGACAGAATACGACGAAATTCGTATGACGTAACAGTATTCAACTGTGTTTGTTGTCATTACTTGGTTGGAGAACGACAATCTCATTATTATTTTTATGTCTTATCAGTGGGAAAAAAATGAAATTATGTAATGTTTCTGTCTACTTTAGTAATGAAAACTTTCCAAAAAGGGGTAGTCAGATTATTACTCACTACAAATTCTTGACGACGACAGCAGTATAAGAGTTGAGATACGCATGTATTCCTTCATTCAGTTAAGTGTAATCTGGTGAGTCTCAAAACATAGCTGATGCATCAGAAGCCTTTCCTTTTGTCTTATGCATGATTGATCTATAATTCTCTATTCTTATTGTAAAAACTAGCCAATCTCACAATGCTCTTTTTCATTGGATCTATTATTTCACATTCTTACTGCTATTGATTTCGTTCTAGTAGTTGCTCTCTGAAATTTTTATAGGATTACATTAAAAAGAGAATAAATATTATGAAGAGATATAGTGAAGTAAGTTGCCCGAAGGAACCTCTGCCTTCAACTTGCTTTCTTTTATCAAGGATAGAATTTCGAGGAAAAAATTTATTGTCCTATATTTTCTTGGTTGGATTTTTAGTTATCTAAACCTGTTATTTCAGCCATACGGCATAAATACAGATTGAGGTCAATCATATCATTGTTAAAGAATAGAAAAGGAGTATATATAAATTTACAATACTAAATTTTACTTCCTTGGACTTTCGATGATTTAATATCATTCAGAAAATAAATGATGTGTTAGTCGTGCTTCGATAGCTCAATGGTTAGAGCACTGGCCTGGATAACCAGTAATCGTATCATGGGTTCGATTCCCGAACGAAGCATATCATTTATTTTTCTGAATGATATTAATCATCGAAAGTCAAAGGAAGTAAAATTCAGTGTTGTAAAGTTATATATACTCCTTTTCTATTCTTTAACAGTTATATTCACCCTCTGATAAGAGAAGAATAAAAATCACCATCAATTTCACTTGGTTAGAAATAGCTTCGCTATATCCAGGTGCGTCTTACACATCGTGTCGACATTAAAATTTCGATGATTTAATATCATTCAGAAAATAAATGGTGTGTTAGTCGTGCTTCGATAGCTCAATGGTTAGAGCACCGGTCTGGATAACCAGTAATCGTATCATGGGTTCGATTCCCGAACGAAGCATATCATTTATTTTTCTGAATGATATCAATCATCGAAAGTCAAAGGAAGTAAAATTCAGTATTGTAAAGAAATATGTTTGTCAGTTTCAGATAAATCACAATTGACGGCTTTTTAATTGGTATCACACTATTTCAATACTTATTCGCAATCATTTTATTTTATCGACCAAAGTTGGTTAACTCTGTAAGGATTCGCTTACAATAATTATAACAGGACAGATAACTCATTGCAAAATCAAGATTGAACAAAAAATAGATTTCTCTTATGCATTCTTCACTTTACATTCACACATGCCGTTATACTACTGAGTAGCAAATTATTAGTTTTAAAACCAATGACAAACTTTCTCTTACTGCAGAATTCACAAAGAAATTTCCTCTCAACGTACTAGTGATTTCTTAAGATCTAATAAAGTTACGTAGTGAGATATACTGCCGTAAGTAGTATCACCCAAATAAAAGCGCATTAATAGATTCCGCAGCATGCCTTTGGCCGCCAACTTACTTTGTTTCGTCACGACACCTAAAGATGCGATGAAAAACACTAAAGTGTATCAAAAACGAGTCTTTACAAGCTCTTTCCAAGAAACAAAAATCCCTTTAAAGCTCACTTTCGAAAGAAATTCCTTTGAACGTCATTTTCAAAACAAATCCTAGTAAAGGATTTTTCACGAAAACTCTGATTTCCACGCTGAAATCATCTATGACAGTGCAGCTACTTACAAAAGCGCCTTCAAATGCTGTCTTCTATATGACTGCAAGCTGTTGGATATCGATTTCAACTTGTTGCCAAAATTAAACACTATACGCTCTCAAACATTTTAGGCGCGCTTTCGAAGAAAAAATCAAACTTCGCTGTTGAAATCCTCGAAAACAAGATAGTGAGCTCACAAAGGTCTTTAATTGCTTTTTTTCTATATGAATCAATGCTTTGCGATGAATAAGTCAACTTATTTAGGAAGTTTCAAAAAAACACCTTTGTACGCGTTTAAAGGCAGTTCTTCAGAAAACCTCAGATTTTTCCTTGAAAGTAATTTAAAACAACACAGTTACTTATGAAACGGCCTTTATAATACTTTTTTGTATGTGAATCCTTGCAGTTGGATGAGGAAATGAACTAGTTGAAAAGGATGAAGAAAAGTGTGATTTCTCCATTGAACTCTTCTGAAACGAAGCGCTAACCTACAATAAAACCTTCAAATGCTTTACGTCGTCAATTGTTTACAGTCGTCGTAAACTATGCGGTTTTACATGAGTCATTTACGATGGACGTTGTTAGACTGTAAGGCATCGTTTACGACCGGGCATCATTGACTTGAGAAGATGCTGTCATTTTCTTGATTTCTTTTCCATATATTTCGTCTGCTTTTCGAACACTTTCTTATTTTTCTCTATTTATATTTGAATCATTGGTTAATATAAACTAACGAACCATAAAAGATAACACTAATTATGTATGAGTTTTGAAGGTACTTTGCGAGAAAACTATGAATCATCCTGAAGCGAAGAATTATCTAACCTTCACATAGTAAAGAAAGTTTCATTTGTATTTTAGAAATTATTCAGAAGATTCCTATTTATTAATATTTGTTGTATTAAATTTAACAAAGTGAAAGTTCAAAACTGTAAAGTACAACTAAAGAACATTATAAGAAATGCATAGTTCAACCAATTCTAAACTTGATAAACATGATCATCATGAATACGATCGAGTGTCAACTATTGAAAATTCATTAAATTTAATCGACGACACTCCGGTTACAAATGGAAATACGAATGATTTACATGACAACACATTCGACAATCACATTCCAAATAACTGTTTACCCAAAGTAGAACAAGAAGATTTTTCAGCATCAAATGTAACTCAGGGTAATACTTTAATGTTTGATGACTTAGAAGTGAAACTGAGAGAAGGATTCGACAGACTGAAAATTCAGAATGCGTCAGAATTATCCGAGAGAATACACCGAACAGAACAACAAATAAATAAATATCAACAAGAAAATAAAACAAGAGAAGTCGAGAGAGAAACTAGGGTTTTGGCAGAATTACTGGAGCTGCAAACTTTAGCAGAAAAAATTGGTATCCCAAGAGCACTTCCCGTAAATGAGAAGGAAGAGGAATGTCCGATAACAGAAGAAAGTCTAAGAAACATGTACAAAGATTTTTCCTCAATGCCATGTTGTTCGGAAAGATCTGTAATATGTCTGCTATACTATATTTCCTTGAACATAATCGGTAATACATTTGTCTTAGATTATAATATCGAAATTCCTGATCGAATAGAGAGAGAAATTCAAAACGAATTTGAAATATTGGAAAAACGATTAAAAATAGAAGAATTAGGAACCAAAGAAATTCAACATTTAGTAGACGTAAGCTTCATCAATGTTAAACGTGAAAGTTGGAAATCTGCTTTAGTTCCATTAAAACAACTTTTAAAACAGATAAATTCATTGAATATGCAAGAAATGTTTCGACTCGTTGAGAAAGTCAACGATGCAGCACAGTTAATAAAGAATAAAAATATTATCCTGTTTTTGGGAGGAACTGGATCAGGTAAATCAACTATCATTCATTTTTTTGGAGGATCTAAAATGGCTGAACAAGAGATAAATGGATTGAATCATATTGCTCCTGTTGAGATAACAAACTCAGATCTAAAAAATGTAACAACGTCACCGTTTGCTAGATCTGAAACTCGATATATTACACCTGTTACAGTTAACATAGAAGATGTTGGAGGAAATCATAGTGATAGTATTATTTTATGTGATACTCCAGGATTTGACGATACCAGTGGAGTAGAAGTAGATATTGCAAACGGAATAGGTATTGTTAAAGCAATTAAAGGATGTAAACGTGTAAAACCAGTTGTGTTAATTAGTTATAAAAGCATTGGTGATCGATTAGAAGGTCTGAAAAATCTTGCACATATATTGGGGAGATTAATTCCAGGGATACGAGATCAAATGAATGCTTTCTCTTATATATTCACAAAATATCCACAGGATCAAAGAAATAAAATAAATCCATCATTATGTGATGTCAAAAAAAACATGAACAATGAAGAAAAATCGGATAGTAGTTTCATAAATTTTGTTCATGATATGGTAAACAAAACAAAAAGAGGTGCACTAGTGATAGATCCAATTAATGATGCTCCTGGACAGTTTCTTGATGATCTCGTAGAATCTAGTTTTATTCAGTATCCTGAAGAAGTTTTTCAATTTTTTATCTCACAAAAATCAAAATCGATTTTACAAGAACAAGTTAGAAAACATCAACTTAGTATTATATCTGCAACTAAGCGTTCTGAATATTCATTCATAAAATATAAACTTGATCAATTAAAACATTTAAACGAACTACTGGATCAAGATTATATCGAACAAATTTACAAAGATTGTGTTCAATATATTAGTAGACATCTATCTGAAGAGTATGAAGAAGGTATTTCGACATTAAATCGTTGTTTAATGTATCAAATAGTTTTGAATAATGAAGATATTAAACAATATCAAATACGTATCGATCATGCTAAACTTGCAGAAGAAGTAATAGGTGAACATTTAGGCAAGGAAGTCATTCATAGTAGTGCATTTATTCAATATATGGATAAACAAGTAGATATTATGCTAGAGGATCTACAAGAAAAAGATATTAATGATTCATCAGTAAAAATTACTTTGGATAAAATAAAACTACTTTCAAAATATTTTCCAGTTATTCATTATAAATATAAAAATGTTTGCCAAGTTTTATCTAGAAAATTCGAAAACGTAGTTGACTTCTTCAAAAGTTCAGTATTGTCTAATAATTTTGATAATAGTGCCAATGAAATAACGAAAGTATATGAAGCTTTAACCGTTTTACAAGATCATTTAGATAACCAAAATATGGAAACTAAATATATACAATTGAAAGAATATTTTCTTAAATATTTAAAGGATTCTGTAGAAAAACTGAATGATATTATTAATCAAGAAAAACTAGACGAAAGCGATGTCGAAAGAATAAATAGCTGTGTATCTATGTTAGAATCTGTTAATAATACATATACTCTTCGATCACATATCTCAAAAGAAGCTGTTAGTGAAGTTCATGAAAATTTTTTATCGAAAATTTTGAAACATTTTGAAGATACTATTGAAAAAATAAAAACACAAATGCAGAAAGAAAATTCATTTCACACATTAGAACAATTAGTAAAAGAAATGGATTTGATACGAACAATTTCTGTAATTAAATCTAAAACTAATCCATCTTATTATAGTATATTAGAAAGATTAATTGGATATGTACAAGAAGCAAGAAGAGATATTGAAGAAATATTAAAAACATTATTTCAAAGAGAAGGAAAAATTAACTATAATAAGCTTCCAAAATGTCTATCTAATCTAAAAGATGCGAAATGGATCGAAGCATATAGACCGGGTGTGTATGTAGATGTAATACATGATGTTGAAGAACAGATTATTCAGTACGTAGAAGAATTACATAAATCTATTTTGGATGTAAATTTAGATCTCGACAATTTTGATAAAATTGAATATATATATAAAAAAATATTAGAAATCAATGAGATCAAACGTGTTCAAGGAGTTATTGAGAATGTTAGGCAGTATATAGATGAAGTTAATGCTTGGTTTGAAGGAGCAACAAATAATGTATTCAGTATAATTAAAAATACGTTTATTTCAAAAAAATGGACGGAAAAAGAATATCAAACTTTAGATTTCGATAAAGCGGAAAAGGCATTCTGTTATTTAAATGCTTGTAAAACAATACGTATATTATTTAAAAGTCAATGTACATCAATATTTAACGATTTAGTAAACGTTATAAAAGAATATAGTAAATTTATTCACGAAGACAACGAAAAGTGTTTTGAAAGTATTAAAGACTATCAATGTCAAGATAATAAAGTATTGTTTAATAAAGCTCGAATATTTTTAAATAATTTACGAGAAATATCTGAAATAAAGATGAAATATCCTCACGTTTTTTCTTGTTTCGCAAATGTAAAAATAATTGAATATTGGCAAAATGAATTAGCTAATTATTTACATGACTTATCAGATGAAATGGCAGAATTAAAGCGAAAACAACAAACTGAAGCTTTAAGTATTAAACTATCAATTGTAAAAGCATTAAGTAAATTAGATAGTTTTTCATTAGATGAAAAATATAATGATCTTCATCAAAAATATCAAGATGTATTTTTATCACAGACAACTGATGCTTGTAGACAAGTCATGGATGCTATTAAAAATGGTGATTATGAACGCGTAGCTTTGGAAATGTCGGCATTACAAGCAGCCAATGGAGTTGAAGGAAATTTTCTTAAACAAGCTAAACGAGAACTTAGGAAAAGTGTAGAGCACCTGTTGAATAAAACTAAGGATGAAGCTATGCGTGGCGAAAGTATTCAAATAGAAGGAATTAAATCTGTAGTAGAAAATTTAAAACAAATAGAATGTGCAAAAAGGTTTATACACGAATATCTTAGTACACCAGATGAAATCGGTGAATGTATATTAGAAGTTAAAAAAATAATTGGAGATTGGATAAAACGTTTTATAGACAATATAAAAGCTCTTATTACTATTTATAATTTTTCTGAAGCAAATCAAAAAATGGATTCATTATTATCGATGCATATGCTGTTAAAAAAATGTTCTCCAGACGATGTTTCTAGTCAGATCGAAGCAGTAAAACAGTTTGAAAAGGATGTTGTATTGAATATAGTTGATAAATATTCCAAAATAGATATTAGTGGATTTATGTTAAATCCACCAAAAGATATTTTCGAAAAACTCGACATAGTAAAAGATATAAAGCCGATATTTAAAGAAGCTTTAAATACTATAAGCGATACGATTCTAACGAAATTTCGAGATGAATTTAAAAAGACTCAAACAAAAATGATGTTAGATCCGGAAAATATTCGCGTGAAAAAAATCGAATCAACATTTGTTTATTTACCAAAAACGATGAAAGAAACTCTTGAAACAGAACTAAATTATTTAAAAGATGATATTACTTTACTTATTCAAGATCATAATCAAAAATTAGATGATGTATTTGATACTGGAAATCTAACACATATTAAAGATATTCTTGAAGAATATCAAAATTCAGAAGGTATGCAATCTTTTGTAAACAAAGGTCGAGTACTTGCTTCAAACCAGGTACAAGATATGGTCATAAAAATAAATGAAGATTGTAGAAAAAATAATATAAGAGAAGCATTAATTAACGCCAAAAAATTGTATGATTACAAAAAAGAATTAGAGAATATTTTTAGTGAAATTAAACAACCATATTTCGAAATAGAAATTCTAATAAAAACTACATGTCAAAATGCATACTTATCATTTATAAATCAATTTAAAAATATCAATATATCCGTCACTACCAATGAGATAACTGAAAATATGGAGAAAACTTTTATGTGTTTAATGGAATTTATGAAAGGACGGGGGCGCATAAGACCGTAATTTGGCCCATTGGACTTTTCATACTATATCCAGCACAATCATATATAGGATGAAAGAGCTTCAACTGGCGAGTACTTTCCAATACATTTGACGACTTCCTACCCTATGATTACGAATGATCTTATTACGAATATATAGTAATTACATGACAACCTT